TGTTCTAACGAGATAACGGGTAAAGATACGGTGTGAGATTGAGGATGAATCTTCATCAACTAGTATAGTAAAGTTCATAAATAACAATTGGACAAATATCTCCCACCCTTTCTTGGGCCCCAGGTATAAGTTTTGACACCCTAATTTAGTATATCTATGCCCTACGACAACAATAAAATCTCTGCTGCCAACCCCACATTCCTCATAATGCTCCACCAATAATATAATAGGACGAAACTTGTGTAATTGGAATGTGTTAAATGAGAATCCTACGTGGGGCTTTGAAGACTATAAGGACTATTTTATAGATATCATGGACTCGTTTGAGAGAGATTTTGAGAATTGATTTTTTGACCGTTAGAAGAAAAGTGAGTTTCCCCTGTGAAAGAAGAAGTCAAAAATTACGACTGAAATGGTGAAATAACGATCAAAAAATCAATTTTTTGGGGTAAAAAGTCCCTCCCAAACAGGCCGCATATAAATTGGCCCACCCCAAACTTGACGATAGAGACATTTTGCAAACTCGTCGTTTATTTTAAGATAATAATTTTTTTTTTTTTTAAACTTTAAAACTAAGCCAAACATACACTGAAACGTGGGCCCAAAAATTTTCGTGACTTCAAATTTTCCGAGAACAATTAGCCCATGTTTTATTTTTATCCACATATTTTTTGATATTCATTCACAAGTACTATCATTTTATCCATAACTCACTTCTATGTATTTATTGTTCAAATAGTCTATAAACAACTTTCAAAAATACCTAGTAGATACAGTGCACGAGATCGACTAATGTTACATGTTTGGGTTCCATTTTATCTAAAACGCATTTTTTTCAATATGTAAACTCAAAAAATTTCATTCTTTTTTAACTACACATGCTTCGAGAAGTCATTATTTCAAAAAAAATTTCCCAATATCTCATTAAAATGGAGCCAGCTAATGTCACTTACTAATGTTTTGGAAGAGAATTTTTTGGCAATGTTGAAAATATGTTAATGGTGAACATGTTTTCCTTTTTTATAATAAAATAATGTAAAAAAGGGGGATTTTGTGCGTGATCAACGAAGCAAAGGTGGTGAGGTGGAGTTCAAAGCGCACATCATATATGTAAGGCTAATGTTGGTTTTCATTGCAAAAACATTTGTTTGATTTGTTGAAAAATAAAAATAAAAAATATCAAAGGAACAAGAACACAGAGAATTTTTCACCCTTAAAAGGTCCAGATGTTCAATTACAAAGTCCTACTAACTAGTTAAGCATCGATTAAGTGATTAAGCTCTAGACCTACTAAAATCTCAAAGAAATTATACAAATGTACGAAAAAATCACATATTTCTTCGAGTTCTCTCTAGCCTCTCTTTTACAAATATGGTAACCAAGAATCTTGCACGCAGATCTTCTAAGCAACTCTCAATACTCAACTACTGAAATAACATGATAAGGATGAGGATTACCAAGTTTCAGAGAAACCCTAATTCACACACTGATAGAACAATTGAGAGAGAGACTGAATAATCTCTCAAAAAATGGAACGTCCAAGATATAAGTACTCAGACCAAACGTCACAGATCAAAGGGTTGCCTAGAAGCCATGTGTACAGCAGAAAGCATTCCTTAAGAAAGGCAAAAAATCTTTTATACAAAAGGACGTTTTAATAGATGAGTCAAGTAATAAACCAATTTAATAGGCCCAACACTTTTAGAAATAGCGAGGCAACCCAGATTCATAACAGCTAAAAATAAACATTTGTGCTACAATGACATGGTTTCAATCCAGATTTTAAATCCAGACAACATGTGTCATGTAATAATTGGAGAGTTAGAAAAAAAAAATCTTTCATCAGCACTGCTCTCATCAGTAAAATGAACAAGTTTCTCAACTTGAAATGTCAAGTCCAAGTCCAAAAAATCTAAGTTGAACTGGACTTGTTTACACCAATCAAAGAAATTGAGCCCATTGAACAGTGGTACAGATGAAGCATATGAATGCAGAGAAACTAGATCAGATACTGCAAAATATAAAATGCTCTAATATTAATGCTTTGAGTTTAGATTTAAATACTTAAATTCAAATTCAGATAACAATAAATGTATACTGCAGTTCTCCTTTGGGTAATACTACATTATACCATCATAAATAGATATAATGATACTAATTTAATTTCATTTAATTGGTAATCAAATGTACTCAAATCAAGCATGTATGATATCTTTGGATATATAAAACACATCCGACCAAGTAAATCAATTAACCACGATCACGTTCATGATTAATAAAATTAACTGATCAATATTTGGATAATCCATAATAATTTTATAATCTATGAACGTTAATATACTTTAGACACCAATAATCTTAATGTCATTTTCATTTATAAGCATACTATCAAGAGTAATTGATAAATAAATTATGTAATTTAGTGTTCGAAGTACCATAATGTTTGGTCACTTCGGTGACTAACAAACAACATTAATCGAACACTAATTACATAAATAAAGCATTTATCACTTAATGCTTTTAGTTATTTTCTTGTTTATTCATTATTGACATAAATAGACTAAGCATGTTCCAACACAAATAAACAAGACCGTAAAATTTTACATATATTAAAGATGCATTTCTTGGTGAGCAAAAGAGTCAATTATCAATAAATTAAACATTAATTGACTATTAACATGCTTTAATAATAAACAGAACATAAGTTCGCAGTCAAGGCAGGCACTAATAATTACAATTAATTATTCATTCACCTGTAAAACTGAAAATCCATTACAATTAATTATTCATTCACATGTAAAATTGAAAATCCATTTATTTATCACGTATCATTAATCAATTTGGCCCCATAGAGTAATTAGAAATTGGAAAAATGCTTCAACCAAGAAAACATGCAGTGACGACTCATGATGGCATAAACCATAGATTGGACTTCTCTCAAACCAATCATAATTTAACAGACTCAACATGGTATTTCATCAATAATTTGAAAGAGAGTAAATGAGAATTCACTATTGCAATATAAAATAAAAATTGACTTAATGTGTACAGTTTCAACCCATAAATAATAATAAAACCCTTGATCGGCCATCATCAACAGTAAATGCAGAGTCTATGCCGGTACCATTATGGATGAAATGAGTTTTAAATTCATTGGAAACCAATTCATGTAATTTAATAACATAGGGAACAATCCACTTATAAATATCCGTGGCCATTGATACAGTTAAACATAATTTTGTGGTCAGAAAATATTTAGCAGTGGAACCATCTTTCTAATTTCAGATCTTAATCCATAAATCTATAAAAAATAATTAAGGATTAGTAAGTGAAAACAATAATTTTTAAAGGAAAATCAAGATATTAGCCAATATCTTTAGAATTCATGATTTTCATATATGAATTTAATTGATCAAGAAACATACCTTGATCCATGACAATAATTGAGACTTTTAAATCTGCAAAAAAAGAAACTGTTAAATTAAAGAAACTGTTTTCCCACTTTTCGTCTCTGTAATTGAATTAATTAATTGATGAGTTTCATTCACATATGTAGGTAGAGAGAGACGGTTTCTTAAGGGTCATAAACTACCCACTTTCCATTAAAGTGGACGGTTATCAAACTGCCACTTCTCAAATGAGCCAATTGGATTTAATAAATATAAACCACTATAATTAATTATTTAATAATATTACATGGGCCACAATTAATTGGTTTTACATCTACAAGTAGAAGAGATCTGGTTTATGATGTTTTGCATGTAAGGTGGTGTGTTTAGGCAAGTAGTGGTGGCGGTGTGTAGGAGGTGATGGTGAATCTAAGGTGATGGTGAAGTCTCGAAACTGTGGATCAATGTCAACGGGTGGTTATAGTGGTGGTGCGTAGGAGGTGGTCATGGTGGATATGATTTTGGTAATTGTGGTTCTGCGGTACGTTTGGGCTTGTGGTGGTGGCGGTGTGTAAAAGGTGGTGATGGTCAATCACAATTTGTTCACAAGTCAAATAACAGTGCATAGGTCATAGATCAATATCCACATGCCACATCACTATAAGTAGGTTATAGATCGATGTTGACAAGTCACAGATCAATGCTTACAAGTCACGGATCAATTTAATTTGTCATTGATCAATGTCCATAGATTATAGATCAATTATAATCGGTTACAGATTAATGTTTATAGGTCACAGCTATATCATAGGTTAAATGTAGCCGGTCATGCATCAAAGTGAATAGGTTACGAGTAACAAATTCAAGAGATCTAGTCATATGTTATCGATTTCTTTGACTTGTTATCCAAAATGAAACAAATTCAATTAACTAGATTTTGACAGCGAAAATTGAAATTATTTGCTTCGATAAGTACTCTATAAATTACACTAGTGGCTATTTTTCAATTTTCAGCTTTAAATTATACAAATATTGCTGAGTGCTGCTGAAGAAGATAAAACAATTTGTCAGCGATGCTTAGTTGATGTTCTCCAACAGTCCTTAGGCTTCTCCCTCTATCTCTATTATCTGAGCCGATTATGATCAATCATTGCTGAGTGACGATCGGTTTGTCACTCAAAAAGTCGTCAATGGATGGATGTAGATGACTTTAAGAGGAGATGGTGATTGCATAACGGCTGGGGGTGGGGAGGATGTGGGTAGATAAATTTAAATTGATAATATTATTATTTAAAATTAAAACATTGAATTAACACTTGACTTTTGAGATTTTTAACTTAATGTCTGAAAAATTGATTTGATCCATGCTTAATACTTCACTTATGATTTTTTTCCCTTTTACTTTCGTTTTATCAGGTTGCAAAACATGTGCCAGGCTTGAAACTGATTTCCCCATCCAATACGTACACCCCGCTTAACACCCCAGTTGTCCCTTATTCTCATTGGATAAAGATGGAAAATTTTATATATCACCACTTACTTCAAAGCTAAAATGAAAAGAAAAATAATAAATTTATCTAATCAAATTAAAGATAAATTTTACAACACTGATGAATAAGAGTATTATCATAGAAAAAACCGAAGTTTAAAAATTTCACTTTATTGTCCATAATGCGTACTAAATATATCTTGAAGGCAATTTCTTCTATACATCACAAACATGGAGTACCATGGAACCAAAGGTTGGGATGCATCTATTCTGTAATTACAGTAGAAACACAGAATCAAAGACGAAACGTTTTTTTTTTTTTTTTTTTATGCTCAAGCCTTTTTGTTTAGACCATGAAAGAAACGGTGTTTTTTCCTCCTAGAATGCCGTTGAAAAGCCCTCGAAACGACATAGGGAATAAAATGCACCTGAAAAAAAAATTACTCCGAATATGAAACCTGATCTTCATAAAAATGTTAATGGAAAAAAATTTGCTGGAAGGGAAAGAATAAGATGAAAGAGTAGCAACATTGTAATTGGAACAGTTTTAGTGAAGCCTAAGATATGACATAGTAAATTCAAAGAAGTAGAGAAGACGAGGTCCAACAAATTCGTTAAAATTTCTATTCCCATGGAATTACCCAAAAAACTAGTCACTGTTCCACTCAAAATTCTAGGCTAAATTGCATCCGCCATCCTCACGTTTTTTTATTTATTTTTCTTATATGAATTAAGGGAAGATTCGTCTTTTCAGTTATATTAAAGATTATTTTGAACGGAAACCTAGAGTAGAGACTAAATGCCAATGGGCATAAAACTTGAAGGCTCAGAGTTGCAATGTCAAGAAAAAAAGCATCGAGATATAGAGCAAAAGGGATAAAGATTAGAGAAATTCTAGCTTTTCCTTAGAAGACCATGTTTTTACATCTTCACTCAAGACACAGGGAAAGTAGTACCAGTGATTCACAGAAAATTACTCAAGAGAACATCGCTGCAGGACAGTATTAATTTGAATGTAACTTTTAACAGCAGCGTCATCTATTGCGCAACCCACATTAATAAAAGAGTCATGCCATTTGTACATCATTATGTACATACAGTACAGATTTATGATGTGGAAGAAAGAGAGAGAAAGAGGGAAGAAAAAAGAAGGAATGAAAAGAGAGTCAATTAATATAATCAATCTGTACAAAATGATGTACAAATAGCATTACTTTTAATAAAAATGGTGAAGGCAGAAATTATTGGCATGTAAAAACAGACTATACTCATGTTAAGCACAACTTCTGAAAGCTTAGAACTCAAATACCTGAGAATTATTCCGAATGCCATAAGTATGAAGTGCAGAGTTGTCGTCAAGTAGCTTTATGTTGTGATATGAAAGACAAAAATTAGCCCATACATGCTTCCTGCAAACCTTAAGAGTGTTAATAACCACATATGCGGATTTCGCAGTTCCCAACAAATAATTACAACAAACTAATCCTTAAATAGGAGTCGGCTACATGAGTCATTTTACTCCACTCCGTCGGTTCATTGCTCGACCTACTTGAAGATTCAAAACAATTAGCCCTTTAGCAACTTCAATATGTAATGTTAGTTTTGTTTTACCCTTCCTTGTCTCGCTTGTTCTACTGAGATCCCACCATTTTTATAGACATAAACCTCTTTAAATCTATGTCCAGAACATAATAATGTTACTAGAAGAGGCCTACTATCAAAGTTGATTGGGGGCAGAAAAGGAGTAGAATCAAAGATAAACAACAATTCAAATTAAGTGAAGAAAACAGCACTGTTTCGAATAAACTGAAGAGGAAGAGTATCACCCACTCACCTGCAGTTTCTGTTATCAACTTCTCTGTTATCTAGTTCTGTTATTTTTCCTCATCAAAAAGGGACTGATCAGGGGAGGAAAAGGAGGGAAAATTTGTCATTTTATTCCTATTCTTTCTCTGCAGCTTCTGTCCACCTTCCCCATCTTAATTATTCTTTAATTTCTGTAATCCCTTATATTATTAATGTATTATAATATCAGTTTATTACTTAAATTGATGGTGTTTCCAGTTCAGTCTTGATTACAAAATAGCTCAACCTTAAAAAAAAAAAATAATAATAAAAAAAAAATAAAAAAAAAATGAAAAACCTAAGTCATCCTTCCTTCTAAGTTAGGATCAGAAGTCTTATCAGTTTTAACCAGCATTCAAGAACCAATAGAGTTTCAAGAATTCTTTCACAATGACTGAAGTATACAAGTTTTCATAAAACCAATATTACGGCTTTTTATCGGATCCCCAAATATGAACGAGGAAACAATGAGGATGATTTCTGAAAAGTTTTCCGGGGAAATCGACATATACTGTGGCATACCAAGAAATATGGCGATGGCCCATCCTTGTTTCCTCCATATCATTCACCTTTTTCTTGATTGCTAATTTCAAATCCTTCACAGTTGCAGAATTCATCACCGCCACATCTTCAAATCAAAAAACGACGAAGAAGTGGAATCAAAATCAACATTAACATTAGTTACACACATACTCCTAAACTGTTTGTGAAAATGCCTAGCAGAGAAAAATTCGAGTACCTACAGAGGTACCATCCATTTTCACGACGCAGATGCGCATGGCGCTGCCGAGTTCCAAGTTGATTAGAGTGTCCACGTCAGACAGCGTAGGGTTCTTCGTTACATCGGAAAGTATGGGATCATTGAGGAGCGCCGCCATTGTGGACTGTAACTTAGCTTTCTTGACTAAGCTGGCGTTGTACTCTGGACCGGTGTTCGCTGCGGATGCGGCTCCGGCGGCGGCGTCCGCCGTCGTACCACTGGCAGATGCATCCATTTGTTTGCAAGCAAGTGAAAGTGCCTGATTTTTTGTTGATTATTTTTGTCTAAAATAATTAATTTGTTAATATGAGAATGGCGAATTTTGTACATAGCAAAAACAAATGGTAAATGTTAACTTTTTCTGAACGGTGTTATAGTTGCGGGAAAAAATTCTACTGACATTTTACAGAATACACATGGTAGTGGGGCTCATCTCAATAAAATATTCATACGGAACCCACCTCATGTGACTACCCTGTAGAAACTCTATGAGACATGGCATTTTCCATTCTTTATTTAGGATCCGTTTAATTGCAAAAATGGAATTTTGGTGGAAAGAAAACTAATTTCAGGAAAATAAGTTGTCTAGAAATTATTTTATTGAGAATTATCAATTAATAGTGCTAGATTAATATAATTTTCCACCTGAAAAATGTTGAAATAAAAGTGTCTTTTGATATTCGTTTAGCTTTTTTCATGAATATTGTCAATTTAAAAGATATTCACTTTTACAATTGTTCTTAAAATTTGTTTCCATTGCCAAATTTTTTTTTCCAAATATCATCTATATTTGGTATTCGTTTGACTTTGTTTTATATGAAAATTGTCAATTTAAGAGATATTCTCTTTTATAATTGTTTCTAAAATTTGTTTTCATTACCAAATGAAAAAAAAAAGTTGCATGAATTCACCAACCCCATGAGAAAGTGAATTCCTCAAAAACAAGGAAAAGTCGATCACGTGAGGGCAAAGCTAAAAAACCAATTATTGGGAAAATTTGGCAAATCAAACACTCAAAAACATGAAAAATGAAATTTCATTTCAAAGTTCCATGGAAAAAAAAAAAAAAAGCCTTCTTTTATAATTGTTTCTAGAATTTGTTTTCATTACCAAATGAAAAAAAAAAGTTGCATGAATTCACCAACCCCATGAGAAAGTGAATTCCTCAAAACCAAGGAAAAGTCGATCACGTGAGGGCAAAGCTAAAAAACCAATTATTGGGAAAATTTGGCAAATCAAACACTCAAGAACATGAAAAATGAAATTTCATTTCAAAGTTCCATGGAAAAAAAAAAAAAAAGCCTATCAAACATGCCCTTATTTTTCGATGGACTTATATTTTTGTTTTAAAAATGTACTATAGTATAAATTATTTTGAAAAATCTTAAGGTAAAGCGTAATTGATAGATATAATCCCACCAAAGTTTTTGTTCCCTGTCACCTCATTTTAATTATAATAAAGTACTTCAAATCTTGTCAATTGTTTTATATAGACGTTAATAAGTGTTATTCTACACTTATTCTTACGCATGTGTATACTTAATTTGGATTATTATTATTATTATTATTATTATTACTATTATTATTATTATTATTATTATTATTATTATTATTATTATTATTTTTATTTTTAATGATTGATTTAGGAGAAAACTCAGACTAGGCAAGTTTGGAAGAAATTGAATCGAAGTTATTAAATATTAAAAAATTGGGATCAAAATGATCAAGTCTCGAAATCAAGGAGCCTTCAGTTGAAATTGCATTGGACTTGGAATGAACAAGAGATTGAAATTGGGAAGGAGCGAAGTTTGGAAGCTAAGGACCTATACTGCAAAGACAAAAGGACGTGGGCTGAATAAAAATTTCAAAGTGGGACCAAATTGTACCATTTAAAAGTTAAATGGCCAGTGCTATCTAAGGGCCTATTTAGCTGTGATACCAAGGGAAATATATTTAAAAATGGGGACTAAATTGAGTGCACAATGCTATCACACAGCGTAATTTGTAGAAAATTTAAAAATTGCTATTATTATTATTATTATTATTATTTTTAAGAGTAAGTTTGGATGAAATTGAATCAAAGGTGCACATTTGAAGGTTCTTACGT